ATCCCTAAATCCCATAGACTTCAGGGAAGACAGATGCCGTTTAGCTAAGAGACTGGTTTGGGTTCTAAAATATTACTTTTACACTTTCATTAGAACAAAACTTAGAACAGAATAAATCACACAACGTTATACCTATTGACATCATTTGTGCGAAAAAGTAGTACTGTACAACAAAAGGCACTCTTACTGAACTAAAGTGCTGCTGGGGTTTAAATCGATCTATAGCTTATTGCAACTTCATTGTGGATTTGTCTTTCTCTCAGACCTCACTGGTTAATATCCAGATGAGAGAGGTCACTTCACTTCATATATTATTTTAAAGTTTTATGAAACAAAACAAAACTCTTCAATTGCTATATAGAAATCTCTTCAATTCACATCCTCCCCCCTCTCTCACCCCACTGCCCTTCACTTCTGGCTGGCTCATGTCAGTTAAGCTGTAAAAGGTGGCCATTTAAGGGGGGAAAATACAAGCTCTGACTTATTTCCCTGTAGTTTGCATGTTTTTCTCCCACTCCCTCAGCAATGCATTCTGTGATGCCAGAGAGCATTGTGTTGGGGGAAAGACAAACACTTGTGATTAACTTATAGCTGCTTATGGCACATCTGCAGAATCAATGAGGTTTCCATTAAAACATCCTATTTTTTCCTTTTCCCTCCCAATTCTGTGATATTACAGATAGCAATTTCCTGTTCGTTGGGAAAATAAGCAACAGTGTTTTATTGCCACACAACACTGATCTCCACTCATATCATTTTAAAACCATTCCTTGATTGTTTTAATAACCCAGGGGTCAGTAAAATGTCTCTTGGAATGAAGGAAATTCTTTAATTGCATAAATATTGTAAAATTATGCCTGTAAGCTATGTTTTCTTCATGGAAGGACCTCTGAAAATTGTGTTGCTCGTTGCAATCTATATGATCTTACTAAGGCATTGTTAAATCTAGGCCACACTGGAACCTACCCCACCTTCAGGATGCTCTTTATTCCACCTCTCCCTGGGTGGGTGGGATTTGAATCCAGCACCCTGGTGAACACCTTAACCCTCAGGCCATGCTGGAACCTGCCCTACCCCCACTCTCACTCTTATTCTGGCCAGGCGCTGAAGAAGTACACTAACAAAAGCATCAAGGCAAATGTCATATAAAATATCTTAAAGGGAAAAAATCCTTTCATTCCCATTTAGTAAGGTTTTATGTATGCACTGACTATTTTTTTCCCTGGTGTGGTAATGAATAAAAATCAGACAAAAGTACAAAGTGTTTGTGGAGAAATGAAAATGATAGAGATAATACTTTATGCTTCCCCATAGGAACACTATTTCCAAATACATTAGGCACACTACAGTCTTCAGTTATGATTTTTAGGCTCAATCCTGCTCCCATTGAAATTAATAGCAAAACACCTATGGTCTGTCTCGGGAGCATCATCAGGCCCTTATACAAGAAAATATAGATATAAATACTCTTCCTCCCTTTCTCTTCAACTGCCACAAACAGTATACGATGGTCTGGATTACAAATAATTTACATTTTAGTATCATTAAAATAGTAGCTCCTGAGTGACAAGAGAGAGTCTGAGAAACCCTGATTCTTTTCTAGTAAGCAATTCTTTCCCACTCCCATTGTGTATTCCTAGAACTCAGCGGCACTTAACATTCCAAAAGGGGTTCTGAATACCAGTGTATATACCCTGCTACTAGTTTTATGGGGGTGAGCAGACTCTGATGTTTGATAAAAATATTAGTGGAAAAATATTTGTAATGATTAATGGGAAATAGATAAATGGAAATAGTCCAATGGCAGATCTTTGTTAATACATTAGGATAGTGTTTGTGCTTCATATAAAGAAGGTCTACATGGAAACCTTATAAAAATCAGTGTCACTAACCATTTTCTGTGTAATTATCATTCTTAAGTCTTGTGCAGGGTTTTCAGATACTAAATTTCCTTCATGTCATTTCATATTGGATTTTATACGGCTACCTACTCTGTAAAATGGCATGCACAGCAAGCATGCAAAAGGACAGTCCTGCCCCAAGTAGAGTTGAAACTCTAAACTAATATAATAAGAAATAGCACTAGACTTTGAGAAAGGAGGAGAAGAAATAGGAAACACGGGGGAGGGAGGGAGTAAAACAGCTCTTAAGAAAAGATTTACAAAAGAATTCAGCGGGTCTATTTTTGTTTAATGTTCCTTCGGGAGAGTGGACATTTGTTTGTTAACTAAGTGCTTAGGCACCAGAGGCCTCATTCTACCCTCACTGATGCTGACAGCGGCATACCCCTTGGCACCAATCATACGAATTTGGCCTCCGAGTCAGCAAGGCCCTTAGGTATGTGCTTAATTTAAGTTTGAGAGTATTTCCATTGAGTTCAGTGGAACTCTCCACGAGAGTGAAGTTAAGCATCTGTGTAAGTCTCAGCAAGATGAGGGCCCTAGCTTCTGCAATGATGAGCACTGCAAAAAATCCATAGCTTGCTAGATTAGATAAATGTTTTAATATAGTCACTGACATAAGAGAGGAACCAGATAATACCAGAACTGAGATTAACAACCCACAGGATGTAAGAAGCAGGAGGTAGAGGAAATTACAACTGATGTAGGCAGGGGCGGAACTACACTGGGCTTCGAAGGTGAATTCAAGGTCTTTGAGCCTTATGTGTAAAGAGACAGAGCTGTGGAGGAAAGGAGTGACATGCTGGATAATGGGATAAGATGATGATTTTAGTTTTTAATAGTTTAAAGAAGGGAGGCCAGAAAGGAGGAAGTTGCCATATTCAAGATGAGAGAACTGTGTCATGAACCATAGTGTTAGCAGTGGATAATGAAGGAAAGGGTGTTTTTAGCACCATTTGACACCATTAGTTTCCCTAAGGTCACAGTCTATCCTTTTGCCTACATAACCTCCTAGATAACCTAGATTATAGAGAAAAATACAGGCAACACCTGAGAACATTTTAAGTTGGTTTTCATTCTGAAGAATAGTCAAAGCTATAAACAATCACAATTAAACCAGCTGTTGAATAGCTACATTGCATATTTCACAGAGTTGTTTGGAAAATCCCAGAGCCTCTTTCTTGACACCTGTTGACAAGAGTAATTTTAGCCTGCATGTCCATTTTAAAATGGAAAGAGAAGGCAGAAGAATGTATAATCATGATTTTTTTGGGGGGGATGGAAATTGTCTGCAAACTATTTGAAACTCACCTCATTTGATCCAGTTTTTGGGCTAATAAAACTGCTCCCTCCCCCCCAAAAGATCAATGGTGGAAAATTAAAATTACATTACCAAATTCCATTAAACTGGTGAAATTTCCCCCCAGGGACTGAAATTATCCATAAAATGAGAGGTGAATCTGGTTTATCTCTGTGAATTATCTACCATTGCATTCAGGAAGAAAAAGACAAGATTTGTTCTACGCTAATATCAATGAATATTATTTAAATTTTATTTTCTAATTAATATTTTTCACCTTCCAGTTTTCTCTGGAAAAAAAGTAACTTGTATACCTGTGCCCCCACAATCTCAGAGTTTCCACTGCAGGCTTGAAAGAGGTCACAATACAGCTGAAATAATTACCATTATTAACTTGTGGGGTCACCAAGCAAGAAATGTGCCCCTTTTTAGGAAATAATCTGGTAAAAATGTAAAACATGCTGTCTTTTTAGAAGTCTTTCCTGGCCCCAGCACTTCATCTTTTCCACTGTTTCACTGGCAGTTACATCCTTTGGCATCGCCAAGTCAGAATTGGTTTAGTGTATTGTTAGTTTTATCCAATTTGTAAACATTTCACAGCTGAACTATGGTACTGACGTAATTTATCTAATATGCAGGGATGCATCTAGAATCCATTTTGATAAAGTAAGAAACTTTAAACTTCTTGCAAGTACCTCAGAGTCTATACTTTGAGTGTCAAACAGGTAGAGGACTCAGACACTCATTTCTACTCAGCCAATTCCAGACTACAGTCTCTTGTCTGTACTAAAGGATTTTTATTACTCCCCTGGTTATCTTTGCCTTCAGACCTTAATAGGTATGGTACATGGAATAGGTTTTGTAATGAGTACATATTCCTTATCCATAAATGAAAACGGTCTCCTCTGTATAGAAAAAGCAGTTCTAGAAGTCTGTGGGTTAATTTTTATTATTTCTTCATTTGACCAAGTTGATTTTGTCAGTTTTGACAAGTTAATCACTAAACAATTCCTGCTTAATTTACTTGACAGCTCATGGAGCTGAGGATACAAATTTCAAACATATTTCTCTTGTGCTGTTATGGAAAAAGGTATTTAATGTCATCTTTGTTATTTATTTTTAAAAAACCAGCCTGTTAATGGCATGCAAAAAATTACAGAGTTTAAGAACACTCAGTTGATATAATCAAAAGGACTTGTTAAGAAAAATGATCTGCAAATATTCAAGCAGCAACTTGATACTACACATATCAGAGTAGATGCAGAAGCACTTAGAGCTGTTGTCACAAGGGCAGAACAAAATGTACCAGGTGATTTCAGTGTTCTTAACCTTATGGAAAAAAGTAGAAGTAGAAAGCAATAGGTCACAAGAACAGGCATAATTCTGCCACTGTATGGCTATTTCCTCTAGCTTACCATACAGGCTGTTGTTAGCAGCCAGAGATTAACTGCTATAAAAGCTAAGGGACAATAACCACATTATTAAATCTTGGTGTGTCTTCTAACAGTATGATTTTACAGAAACAAATGTGTTGAGTCTCAATCCATATGCCTTTTTTATGTGTTTACTAGCTAGGGTCATTAGTCTTGTTTCAAGAATGTCTCAAAAAATGTTATGAACAACAGTTTGCTAAAACAGCAAAAGAAAAGACACACTTACCTTCTTACTTTAGTTTTTCTTTACTGGGTTTATCAAATCAGAAGATTGATCACAGAAAGAAAAAAACAAGCAACTTTCCAGGAAAAAGTATAAATCTTGTCTTACAAAAAAACATGTTGGAGCAGTTAGCTCTTTCTTACCTGACAGCAGTGAGAACCTAGAAATATATCCTACAATGTCAGTTTGTTCTTGTTAGATCACAGCAGCTTGCTCCACTCTGACCAGGCAAATATAAGTCCTGGAAAAATATCCAGCCCAGAAGCACCCACAGAGATAAGCTTTTTCCACTCTTCTAGGTCTATCAGCAGCTGAAGTAGTGCAGAAAATAGTATAAAGAGCAGAAGAGGAGCGTAGTTGTTTCTCACCGAAATCCCAGTCAGGAGAAATAGGAGGTATGCTCTGTCTGTCTCTCACCCAGACTTTTGTTTAAATTTTTTTTCAACTGTTGCTAGGTGGTGTTAGGCTTTGGCAGTTTAGTTCTGAGATTGTATTTCCCCTCTTCTGCTCTCTTCACACACGGTTACAGCAATGACTTTGTTGAGCTCAGCTCACTTGTTCTATATTTAACCAGTGTTCTCAGCAAGTCAAGCCTGTCAACAGCTGAGAAGTTTGGGGCAGGTTTTACTGAGTTCCTCAGCTGCTGAGTTATCAGTGGATGTAGAACTGCATACTGCATACTGGCTACTACTGTACTGTAAGATTGTGAAGAAACTGTCAAATCCTTTTAAGGTCCTCCAGTGACTTCACTGCAGTAATTACTATTTTAAGCAATACACAGAAGTTCTGTGATTGGGAATGTACTTTAGAATGTTAGTGAGATTGTGTTGATACTCCTATTAACATCAAAGGATTTTCATAAAACCTCAGAATTTTGTAATTTGAAAGGTATTCACAGCCCTTGCAAAAAATAAAGATTCCAACACTGGGAAAACATTTATTCTGAGTAAATGAGTAAACCATTTTCTGTTTACACAGTTCACATGTATCAAGCTGGTTTGGAGATATAATGAAAGGCTTAGCTAGAAAGTGTTCAGAGTAACTTTTATTCTGAATCAGACAGTATGAACAGTTTTCTTAGCCATGGACATTTGTGGTGTGATCCATCCCTTTAATACCTCCACAGTTGAGTCTGTTAGCTCTCTAGGAATGAAGGTCCAAGCCAGAAAAATTCCAATTTGTGCAACACAACAGACAAGAAAAAAATCAGGAACATCACAGTAATGCTCTGCCCACTACACTGTCTCTGTATTTGCATCTGGATCTAATTTATTGTGCTAGTTCTTAAAGTCCCGTAACAGCTTGAAGTATGACAAGTTTAGAGACTTTCAGCCTCTCTAACTACAAACCACTGAGACAACTACACTGTTCAGGGAAGGGAGGACTGCAGTTGATGGACTTCACAGCGAAGTTCTCCAGTGCTGGAGTCAGAATACTCTCTGCAAATGATCCCTGGCAGTAAAACTCTTAACCAGGAAGTTCAATCTGAGCCCAACCTGTTTTTAGAACACATTGCAAAAATTCATCTCTGCCCAAAAGCCCTACCCCAGTAACTTCTCCTGGCATCTTTCATTATAGTTTGGGAGAGCGGGGGGAAAGAAGGTGAAGAGAAAAGGAACAAAGAATACAGACAAGAATAAAGGAGAAAGACATGCTGGGAAAAAATACTGATTTATTATTAATTTGTTTATGGTAATACCTGCTATCTGCCTATCACATTCCAGACAAGTTAGGCAAAAGAAAGGAATAGTTTCATCTAATAAGCTAAGGAGTCAGATAAGTAAACAAGACTGAGAGGGGACATGATAACAGTCATGGACTGGGTGAAAGGTTGTTGTAAAAAGGAAGGTGATTGATTGTTCTTAACCACTGAGGTCAGGACAAAAAAGTAATGGGCTTAAACTGTAGGGCTGCGTCTAGACTGGCAAGATTTTGCGCAAATACTTTTAACAAAAAAGTTTTTCCGTTAAAAGTATTTGCGCAAGAGAGCGTCTACACTAGCACGGATGCTTTTGCACAAAAGAAATCTTTTTCGTTTTCTTGCGCAAGAAAGCTCCGATAGCCATTTTAGCCATCGGGCTTTCTTGCGCAAGAAATTAACTTGGCTGTCTACGCTGGCCCTCTTGCTCAAGAATACTTGCGCAAGAGGGCTTATCCCTGAGCGGGAGCATCGGAGTATTTGCGCACGAACCACTGATTTTGTGCAGTACAAAGTCAGTGTTCTTGTGCAAATACTCACAGCCAGTGTAGACAGGTGGCAAGACACAGCCCAGCAGGGGAAGGATCTACCAGTCTAGACACAGCCCAGCAGGGGAAGATTTTCAGAACAGGTTAGACAAATATCTGTCAGGGATGTTCTAAATAATGCATGGCTCATTTAATCTACTGCATGGAGTCCTGCATTTCTGTGATTCTATTATTATCCATGGCTTGTGTTCTTGATGCTTAGACATCACATTGGTGGATTATAAATGTTCTTTATGTTTAATGTGTCAAGTAGACTCTTGTTTGGTAATCTGGTGAGAGCTAATATTTTCTCATGGTATCATATATATAGTAGCCCAATGTCTGTGTCTCTGTAATGCTGAAATGCTGGCTGTTCTCTCTGGGTGACGCTGTTGCCTCCTTCTGTGGTGCTTGTCTGACTTCTGCGCTACTCAGCTGGGCCACTGAGGAGGAGCCCAAACGACCACTTGCTCCGCTTGCTCCCCTGCAGTGGCTCCGCTGAGTGGCGCAGAAGTCAGCCGAGCGCCATGGCGGGAGGCGAAGCGGGGTGGGGTGGTGATGTGCGGCATGACAGAGACTCCAGGCCCCGCCCCCCTTCACCTCCTACAGTGGCGCTCGGTTGACTTCTGCACCACTCAGCCGGGCCGCTGCGTGGGAGTAAGTAGCGCAAGCAACCATTTGGGCTCCACGGTCCCTCGAGTGAGAGGCAGAAGGGGGAAGAGAAGAGAAAGAGAGAGATGGAGAAAGAGGCAGGGGGCGGAGGAGAGCTGAGAGAGAGAGAGGGGTAGGCAGTAGGAGGAGGAGGAGAGAGAGAGAGAGACGTGGAGGAGAGACCCGAAAATCCCGTCTTATGACGGGCTATTGGCTATTATTTAAATATTTGGCTTTGGTAGAGGAATAATTAGACTAGAATATAATTACAAATTTGTATAAGCACAGAGATCACTGGTTGGTGTAATTAATCAAATGTATTAGAAGACATAGAAATCAGGAGATTTAGGTTCTATGCAAAGCCCAATGTCCTGTACTCACTCTTTGTACTTTGACAAGTCAATACAGTAACATTTGTGTAGTAGTCTAGAAATTTGAATAGATGAGTCTGATACAGACATGAAGATGGATTACAAATGGATGGATGATGGTATGGGATCATAACATGAAACAAAGAAAAGCCAAGAACTGCTTACCTAAAGACTATAAAGGAGGTATTTGTTTGCATTTGAGGGGTTATCAGCCCTGTACAAACATGAAAAGTTTGACCCATATGGAAGTTGTTTTGTGTTTATTTCCAATTATTCATTTTATGGGGAAATGTTTATAAATGGATAAAGAGAAAAGCAGCAAAAACAGGCTATCAAAGGTAATAGTGGAAGAGAACTAGCCCAACACCATTTGTAGAAAATAATATCTCCTAACCCAGCAACACTGCAACTTTCTAATGGTACGTCTAGACTACCGCGTTTTGTCGACGGAAGTTTTGTCGACAGATACTGTCGACAAAACTTCCGTCGACAAAGAGCGTCCAGACACATTGAGTTCTGTCGACAAAGCAAGCTGCTTTGTCGACAGAACTCCGTAGTCTGGACGCAATGTTACAGGCAATAACACCTTCTGTCGACAGAATTCTGTCAACAGAAGGTGTTATGCCTCGTAAAATGAGGTATACCAGAGTCGACAAAACTGCTGAGTTCTGTCGACATTATGTCGACAGAACTCAGCGGTAGTGTAGACGCTGGTATAGTTTTGTCGACAAAAGTCCACTTTTGTCGACAAAACTAGGTAGTCTAGACACACCCTAAGAGAGCTTTCTGTTCTGGACACAGGAAAAAGAAATGGATAAGCACTCCAGTTACAAAGCTTACAATGGCAGTTAAAGATGTGGCAGTTATTGCAATAGCAGCACTAGAGATGGGCGCATCCGCTGCATCCACAGTAAATCTTTCTTTCTTTCTTTCTTTCTTTCTTTCTTTCTTTCAATAAGCCTTGAAATTTTAGATTTTTGGATAAAAGTTACAAATTGACCTGGCAATCTGGCTGGTCGTGTGGGATCAAAAAAGGCTTTTTATTTTATGAGATTGGTTTTCATAGCCTTTCATCTGTACAAGGAGCTTATGGGTGGTGACAGGAGAACTGGAGTGTCTGAGGGAATTGTTTGTTTGACTTCTTGTTAGCCAGGGTAGTGAGCTGAAGTTCTCTTAGGGTACATCTACACTACATGGCTATTTTGGGATACCGGAGACTATTTTTTTCCATCCGGGCAATGTGGACAAAGCGGATGCAATACTGCTTTTGAATAAAATGAGCAACTGATGGAAGATTAAATCTTTGTGAGATTATGATATTTGCACAAAATCAAACTATTTTATGCTCAAGATTTAGCACTGACAGTGCATATGGACAGCCATTGGATATAGAGGTATGACTCGCACAAATTTTGCATGTCATCTTCTTTTGCAAAGTCTGCCAACATCTTGAGACATTTGATATTACCTATGTAGAACAGAAGTTTGTAGGCCTTCCCAGTAACTTAAACATCTCACTAAAAATGAAAATCCCAAAGTGACTGCAGGTCGAGGCAGCAATGCTATGTTTGGGACACTTCTCTCATAACACAACCTCGAGAGGTTGTTGAGGCCAGAAACCCCGCACCCATGGCAGGACCAAGCACTGTCTAGAACTCTACACTGTCCCTGACAGGTGTTTGTCTAACTTCATTTAAGAAATTAAGTTAGATTGTAGACCTTGTTTTTGCGAAAATAGGCTTCAAAATACAAACAAAGGTTAAACTGATGTAGTGCTGAATTCTTAAATCTACAGGACAACTCTGTGTCTGAGCACCAGAAAACTTTTGCAATCTGTGGCATTATGATAATTGGGAAAGTTCACCTCCTTGTAACAACCTTTTAGAGACTTGAAAACTGTTATCATGTCTCCTCTCAGTCTTCTCTTTTCCAGACTAAACAAACCCAGTTCTCTCAATCTTCCCTCATAAATCATGTTTTCTAAACTTTTAATCATGTTTGTTGCTCTTCTGGAACCTATCCTACTAGGACTGTCAGCTTTCTAATTGCAGAAAACCCAACTACCTTGCTCTGCTTCTGCCCTACTCCTGCCCACTCCATCCCCACTCCCTTTCTTCATTACTCCCTCTCCCCCACCCATACTCACTTGCTAATTTTCACCGGGATGGGTCAGAGGATTGGGGTATACGAGGGGGTGAGGACTCTGGCCAAGGGGTGCAGGCTCTGGGGTGAGGCCAGGGATGAGGGGATCGGAATGTGGGAGAGGACTCTGGGCTGGAGGTGGGAGTGTGGGAATGAGTGAGGGCTCTGGCTCAGAGTGTGGGCTCTGGGGTTGGACCAAGGATGAGAGGTTTGGGGCACAGGAGGGGGCTCTGGGTTGGGGGGTAGGCCAGGGGATTTGGAGTGTGGGAGGGGATACAGGTTCTGGGCTGGGGC